ACATGAACCACTGCATTGGACACTGATGTGACACTTTATACCTGCCACCCAGTCAAAACGTATGTTGTCCACCTAAGTGGACATGTAAAAAATTGTTTGAAAAGTACATATTTAAAAAAAAATGAAGTTCAAAAATCTTTTTTCATGCCTAAAGATAAATAAAACTACTTAAGAAAAATATTCCTGAATTAGCTTGTCATAATTCGTGCATGAAATGGTTAATTCATTTGAAAGCCTGATGCTTGCTTAGCTTTTTCCACCCTAGTTGGAAAACTCAAGAAAACAGTCGGGATTTGTAGCTGTAGAAATAAAATTGAATTGACTCTGTTATTGTCAGTCTGCTCCAGGATAACGATGTCCCACTTCTGCTGATTTTGTCAAATGCTTTTATGAGCCTTGCCTTCAAATGGATATATCTAAGACTAAAGAGTGATTTTAGGAGATGCACTCATACACACAAAGTTATTTTTATTAAAATTCACATTGCAGAATATGTTCAAAGTTATAAATCTCTTGGAACAGTTACCAATTCAAAGCTTGATGTTAAAGCAAATTGTGAAGCTTTGTGTAAGAAGGGACACCAGTGATGCTTGTGTTTGAGAAGGCTTTCTGGTTTCCACATTGATAAAACTGTGATGATTTAATTTGATCGTTCTTTCCTTTATGATACTTATCTGTAAAGAACAGAAACAATCAAATTGTTAACAGCCTGATTGTCAAACCACAGCTGAACCAAGCATCTCTGTATACCACACAGTTAGTGGTTGGCTGGTTCAATTTTCCTTGACAGTTCACACCCATTGCACAGTAAGTTTCAGTTTCTTCTTTCTGGGTAAAGATTTCATTTGACTTTGAGGCTTCATTCTAATATTGTACAGTCTTTACCTTACAATAAAAAGCACCTAGAGAGAAGCTATATAAATAAAATTAACTAAATTTAAGTCAATCGTTGGTGACTTTGTTAGTGTTATAAAATATGTTCATTTTCACCAGACCTGATGCCTCTGCCAAATTTTTGTAGTTCTTGAGCATGTTGTAGCCCTCTAATAAGGGATTCATTTTTGTAAAAAAAAAAAAAAAAAGGCAATATTAAGAATAATAAGCAATAATAGGGCCCTTGGCAGATCTTAAGGTATACTGCAGTATGGGCTTGGTAGAGTTGAGGCATTTCCTGTAGTCACTGGGATGTCTTGCACCCTGTCTTCTAATGTGGCTGTAGCAAAAACAAGTTACTTCCCACTTACTGTGTCCGCTAGGTAGTGTACAACAACACATAATATTATAAGTCATGCTGTTGCATATGTAAGAAAACATCAATATAGCTTTGTTAGAACAAAACTTGAATAAATTAACTAGCAATATGTCCATGGTGTACCTTGCCTCTTGCTCCAGATGGCTCCAGCCCCTTATATATATATTTAAGTATGCCATAAGCAACTCATTCCATAACTTCATGGAATGGATTTCTATGCTGGAATCTAAGCCTTACTTCACAGAGCACAATTCCCAGCATTAGATGCAGTGCTTCAAAGCACACTGCCACTGGACTCTACAGCAGTGGATACATGTTCTCTGAAATGATGAATGACACTGTGTCTGACAATCTGATGAATGAGATGCCAGAAAAACAGTATTTGTCTAAACGCATTGTGCATGGGAACACTTTGGGGATAGACCCTTCCTGTTCCAACATGTCTGCGCACCAGTGTACCATGCAAGGTCCATATAGACAAGGGTGAGTTTGGTGTGGAAGAACTGCACTGGCCTGATCTCAACCCTATAGAACACCAAAAGGATGAATTAGAGCAGAGAGTGCAAGCCAGGCCTTCTCATCCAACATCAATGTCTGACCTCACAAATGCACTTTTGGAAGAATGGTCAGAAAATTCTCATTAACACATTTATAAACCTTGTGGAAAGCCTTCCCAGAGCAGTTAAAGCTGCAAAAGATGTGCCGAGATCATATTAAACTCAATGAATTAAGAATGGGATGTCACTCAATTTCATGTGTGTGTGAATGAATTTGTGAAACATTTATCCAGGACGCATTTGCAATTTCAGTTGAGCGTGCTGAGTATGGTGCTAACACAGCAAGAAGCTGTGTTAGCACCATACTCACAGAGTAAAACTCGCTTCACTTTGGACAGTGATTCTGATCATCAAGTACTTTCTTGTTCATGACAGGTTTGAGCTTTGGTTGTTCCTGAACATCCTAACCATTTTTTGTTCATCTGAGGGTGACAGTTTGGATCTTCTTCAGACTTTTGCAAAGTGGTGGCACATCTTATTTACAACTGACGAACATGCTCGGATAAATTATTTGAGCCTGATTGTATAATTTTGACTCTGTGTTGATTTAAGAAAATACCAAATAAAACTGGAACACATTTTTGCACCTGATTTTTATTTTTTTTTTAAATCAAAGAACAGTTCAAAGAAATCATTAAAAGCCTAAAATTATGATGTCATTCACGTCCATGATGATGAAGGTATTTAAACTTCAGACCATAATCATAACTTCCTCTGTCGCATCAGCTTAAACGACTATGAGACTGCAGCACATGACAAATAAACTTGCTTCCCAGTACTTTTTTATTAAACTGTCAGATTTTGTTACTCAGTCACTGAATGGTGTTCTAGATTGTTACGACCCACTTTAACCCCTGCAGGTATGTATCTGACTATGGTCCAGGGGAGTACCGTTCACTGTGCCAACATAAACTGCTGACATCTATGAAGCTTCCATCTCCAACCTGCCGGATGTACCCACCCACCGAGCTGGAATGGACATCCAACCAGAGAAAGGGAACCATGTTGGTAGACGTTCACACCTACAATGGTGAGACTAACTGAACATTTCCATTTTTGTACCATGAAACTGGATCAGTGGGCCTAAAGGCAGTGCAAAAATATCAGCTTTAATAAACTCACAACACCATTTGACGTTTTATTTCAGATGAGAAGTTTGTAACTGAAGTGGAGTCTTGGACCACAGGAGAGCAGCTAGCGTCGTGGATTCTTCATTTCAGGTATAAGTTGTAAACATATGTGATTTCCCCCACTTTGCTAACTAATGTTTGCATTTACATGCATCTTCCTTAAAATTTTGTGTAATGTGTTGTTTTGTGCCATAGAGGTGTTTCGGAAGTGGTACAGGGCTGGTCAGTGTCTCTTTTTTCAATCGATGACGGCTGGTCTGATTTAGCTGGCTCAGATTTTGTCATGGATCTCCTGGCTGGAGCTGAAGCTGAAGTGCTCCCACCAGAAGGGACTCCCACCTCTACTTACTCTGATTACCTGTTCAGCAACCAAGGAGATAGGTAAAATAGTGAACAATTGTTTGGGGGTTTGTTTCATTTTCTTGGAGGGTCGGGGGCATCTTTTAAAGAATCCAGTGGCACTTATGACAACTGTTTTTCTATAGGATGTTAACAACCGATCAAGATGACTTTATACCACCAGCACCACCCATACAAGCTCCTGGTCTACCTCCTTTTGAAGGAAACCAGTGGAGAAGAGATTATCCACAGGAAGGTAAGTATTATATGGTGAAATTTTAGTACACTAGTTATCTAATTAACACCGTCAGGAAGACCAAACAGAGCCATCTACTAATGTAAATGTTTAGCTATAGTTTGTCTCTTAGGAATTAACCACTTTCAGTTTAATGTTATTTATTTATATAGTACCAAATCACAACAGCTGAATCAAGGTGCTTTATATTGTAAGGTTAATACCCTACAATAAAACAGAGAAAACGGAGGCAATTCCAACAACAGATGACTCCCTATGAGCAAGCACTTTGGCAACAGTGTGAAGGAAAAACTCCCTTTTAACCAGAAGAAACCTCTGTCAGAACCAGGCTCAGGGAGGGGCGGCTATCTGCTACAACCATTTCTGGTTGAAGGGGGTAAGACAGGACACAGATATCAGTTAGAGAAACATTCTACAAAAAAAGACCTATAATTTTAATTTATGTTTTGTTGTGTTTCCCACTATGACTTCACATGTGATTGGCTGCTTCCAGTAATGGCAGCAACATGATAATATCAGATCATGCAAGGAACGGCTGTCTGCAAGTGCACACAGGCACAGTTCATTACTTGTCTCACCAGAAAGATTTTTTATTTTCTAGACCATGCAGTCCATCTAGCTCTAAATGTGTCCACATAGCATTTCAGAAAATGTTTCACTAAACATGATAATGATATATAAAAGAACTGACGACAACAAAAAACTGCCACAAAAAATACAAGTGAGATAGTAAGCTTTATTTTGCAACCATCACTTTAAACCAGCAGATAGGTTGTCCTCCCTCTGTCTCTATCTATATCTATTATGGCTGGGGGATAACAAGTATGTCCACACTAATTATTTAATATTGAATAGACATCACACTGCAAAAAGATCTATACTAGTGCTGGGGCTGCACGGTGCTAACGCGTTAATTAGCTAAACATGCTAACACGTTGACGCCGTGCAGCCCCACGCACGGGGTGATCCGCATTAACTCACTAACAGAGATTTGCCACATGCGGTTATGGCATTAACAAGATTAACGCTGACAGCACTAATCTATACACTACAAACCAAAATACATTCAGAAAAGTTAGGTGTGTGAAACAGTGGCTCCCAGTGAAGGGCCGTTTTTATCTGTACAAATGCCGCCTTGCACTGCTTTATCCCCTGGCCCAGATCTGGGGCACCCTTTCACGTGAGGTCAGTCAAGGGTCTGGTCCATTCCCCAAATCCAGGCACGAACCAGCGGTAGTAACCAGCGTGTCAGGCTACATTTCACTGTGTGTTATACTTGTATAACTATGCATGTGACAAATAAAGAACCTTGAACCTTGAACCTTGAGCCAGCCCCAAGATGCAATGGCTACTGTTTTCTCCACCTGTAGGCACACCTGCCCGCCTCCCAAATGGTACGCTAACACTGTGCCTCCCTTGATCCAAACGCAGACTTCTTTGGGTTGGCTATGAGCCCCGCCTACATCAGGGACTCCAGGACCACAGCTACCCAGTACACATGCCGGTTGTTACTATGGATGATAACATCATGGAGAAGGCTGTTTTTTCCTTGGATACTGCAGACAAGGGAATCTGCCAGTAGCCCTCGGTTAAATCCAGTGTTGTGAAAAATTAAGCCGGATCTTTCAAGTTAAGGAGTCCAGCAGCCCCAACCCAGGCCATGAGATAGGCATCAGACCATGACACCTCATTCACCAGCCATACCACCTCATAGTCAACATCGCCAACTCACCGTGTGGCCACAAAGAGTCCTTGCCACTTGGCGAGTGTCTTTACGCTTGAAGAAGGGCATAATACAAGCACTTTGTCTCCCATTGAAAATTGCCTGAGTCTAACCCCTCTGTTGTACAGGTGCTGTTGACATTCCTGGGCCTGGAATAAATTCTCCCTTGACAACCTTGACAATGATTGCAGCTTTGCTTTCAGGTCCAGGACATACTAAATCTCATTTTTAACTGGGCTTGGGGGGAAAGGGGGAAAACACAATGAAGGCCTGGGGAGCCTCCCACACTGCAAACAACAAAGGGTCTATCCAGCAAGCCCAATTCCTTTCATCCTCATGAATGAACTTGAATAACAAAATAAAAACAAAATAAAAATACTATTATGATTATGATTGTGTCAAAAAGTAGTATAAAAAATATTATGTTGATATTTAGTTTTTGGTTGAAAAAATAAAGGAGTAGTCGTACAGGCAACCAGCAAAGACAACACAAAGGTCCTTTTTTTTACTCTAACTAATGAGAAATTCTTTCCATCTTCAGGGCGCAGTCGACAGATGGAGGCCTATGTTGATGACATATTTGAACCCGTACTGGACAATGGACCTCCAGTGAGTTGTGTTGTGTTTCTTTGCAGTTTGGCTTATAATTTTGTCTTCTAGCTGAGGGCACAGTGACTACTAGGCTAGTATTTCTCAGAGAAAAAAATGTTCATGCATGATAACTTTACTTTCTCTGATATGAAAAACAATGTAAGAAAGGAAAGATATAAAGAGAAAAAGAGAGATGCTTTAAGGTAAAGACTGCTCATTTGATAAATTAGAAATTTAAAGCTTGTATATAACGATGTAATTTATACTAGACAGTATGTGCAGGCTAAACTGTGTAGTATGCATTTTTAGTGTTTAGTTCAGAGATATGCTTATATATTGTAGAACATTATTATGTTGTTACTGAATTTGTTAAGGCTTATTTCCACGTGTAGTTGTGGCTGCCGTGTCACTTATAATGTGATACACAGCTCATTTTTGTGTGTTTGTGTGTGTAGGACATGGAAAGAGTAGCTATTCTGAATCGCAGGATGAGAGGGGGAGGGGGGATTGGACCGATGCACTCTGGCATGTATGGAGCAGGTAGGAAATTCACACGCCACATGTATTTACTTCATAGTTGAACTACAAAACATTCTTAAAGGTGTAGATTGTTCATAATGTTCACACTAAAAGGTAAAATCGATCTGCTTAGGGGTAGGGGCAGCAGCCTACGCAGACAAAGCCAAACCTGCCTCTGCCAAGTCACCTCCAGCTTATCCAGGGTAACCCCAGGCATTCTCAAGCCAGCTAAGAGATGTAATCTTGCCAGTGTATCCTGGGTCTGGCCCAGTGGCTCCTCCAGGTGGGACATATCCAGAGCACCTCACACAGGAGGTGACCAGAAGGCATCTAGTCAGATATCTGAACCATCTCGCTGGCTCCTTTGAATGTAGAGGAGCAGCAGCTCAACTCTTAGCCCCTCTCAAATGACTGAACTCCTCACCCTATCTCTAAAAGAGAGACCAGCTACCCTTAGGATAAAGCTTATTTCTACTGCTTGTATCCGCACCCTCATTCTTTCAGTCACTACGCAAAGCTCGTGACCATAAGTGAGACAGGGGACGTAGCTTGACCAGTAAATTGAGAGCTTTGCTTTTATGCTCAGCTCTCTTCACCATGATGAAGCGGTACATCGTTTGCATCCATCCATCTTTGGTCCCAATCCTTCTATCACTCACTTCCTCCCCTCTCTCCTCACTCGTGAACAAGACCACAAGATACCTAAACTACTCCACTTGGAGCAGCAATTCATTGATGACCCTGCGTGGGCGCTCCAACCTTTTCTGACTGAGGACCATGGCCTCAGATTTGGAGGTGCTTCACACTAGGTTGCAAACAACTCCAGTGCAAGCTGGAGGCCAACTCTACTTGCAATGAAGCCTGATGAAGCCAGCAGATCCACATCCACCTACACCTAGAAATTATGTCCATAAAATTATAAAAAGAATCACTGACTAGTGGCAGCTGTGGCAGAGTCCAACAACCACTGGAAATGAGTCAAACCTATTGCCAGAAATGTGGACCAAGCTCACATTTCTCCTTTGGCTCACAACAACAGGCTAGAACACCCCATACTCCTAAGTATGCAAAAAAAAAAAAAAAAACAGGACAAAGAGCTGGTTGAGTGTTCTGCATCCAGGACAAAAAAACTGCATTGACCAGGGTTCAACAAATGGAAGAGCTTTCCTTTCTGCTCCGCCCCCCTGGGGGGCATGAATTACCCATCTTGCCAGGTGGGTAGCAGTGTGATGGGCGACTCTGCTTCCTCTACAGAAGGCATGTCAGTGTGGTTAAAGAGGTCCTCAACGTTTTCCTTTTACCACTTGACCATATCCTCAGTTGAGTTCAGCAGCCCCCCACCCCACCACACACCCTGTGAGTAGAGCAATGCTTTCCCTTAATGAGATCCCAAATGGTGCCAAAATTGATTCAAGACTAACAGAAAGTCATGTTGAATCTGTTGGGCATTTTTCTTGGCCTTCAGACAATAATTCTGATTGCTACACTGCCAGATGAGAAAGGCAAAAAAAGAGAAGAAAAGAACAAAAGGCCAATTCCTCAAGGGCAACTCCAGACTGGAATAGAGTCCAAACCCTCTCCAGGAGATTGGTTATGGAGCCCAAGTAAGTGAGTTGAGATGAGATCTACTATATGTAACCAGTTGAAGGAGCTTGGAAAGAAAGTAACTGGCCTTTTTTAAGTTTCATGAAGACATTTCATCTCTCATCCAAGATGCCTGGTCCCTTGTTTTAGTTCTTTTCATAAGGGTTGATTGAATTACTCTTTGTCTGACCCCTCACCCAGGAACAATTTGGTTTGGGAGACTAGGGGGCAACAGACGCCCCTGGCACCTGGGATTACTAGGACACACGAACTGAAATTGTATTGCTGCTCGTCATATATCTTATACACATTTTTGAAAGACAGGATTTTAGCTTGTTATGTGCCATTTCAACTGCACACTAAAACACCATTTTTACAGGTATGCCTATGACAATGCCAAGCTATCCTTTGGGTAAGTAATTTATTACATTTCTGATATAAAGAATCAAGCCTTCACTTCTTCTTTCATCATTGAGAAAATATTCACTTTTTGTCATGCCATTGATTATGAATGTCTTTAGGCCAGCCAGGTTTGTTCTAAGATCTCCATTTGATATGCAGTTAGGGGGCCCTGTAGAAGGCACACTTCAGTATAGTTAACTAATATAACCGAACATAGTACTGCAAGCCTCATTAGTTTACTGCCTATCCTTCAACATTGAAAAGCGGTGAACCATTATCCCTTCTTGACATACAACATGATATATGTAGTGTTGAATTTGTAGTTTTTTCACATTCTGTTTATAATTTTAGTAATTCTTGATAATTCTTGATCTTTTTAACCTCTTAAAAAGGGGGATATCATTAGCTTGCTTTGTAGACATACACTAAACAAGCATAGTTTCACAAACTAGAAAATATCTTTTATAGGTCTAGTGCTGTCTGATTTCAATTTGGAGATATCTAATAGGTGACGATTTTGATCAGGGGCCAGGTTGGGCCTAAACGTACCTGCTGTATATATTAAGCAGTTAAAATAAACATTGTTGTTCTGTTTGTTGTTGTTTTTAAAGCCATTTTAAAGCTGATTTGGTTAATGCTGTTTCTTGGTTTATTCCATGTGGAGTTTCATATCTCATATCTGTGTATGTATAATATATATGTATATCGCTTATACTGGTTATCTTTTAGAATACTCATATGCGGTTTAATTTTTATGTTTTGGATTTTTTAAGTTATGGATTCAAATAAATTACAGAAAATGTTTCAATTCTCCATATGTTGCTTTCTGTATGTATAGGAGCACCAGTCAACCCCGCAATGCCCAGTTATGGTGCAAATCCCATGATGCCAGCCATGCCAGCCATGCCAACCATGCCAGGTAATTCTCCAACATTTCTTATTCATTTTTTTCAGACCTGGGCTCATATGATGACACAGATTATTGGTAGGTCAACTACCACCTCCTAAGGGACAGCCAACCAGCCTCCTCTGACACTGCCTCCTGGACCCACTGCATCCCCACCCCACCCCCCCTCTAGCACATGACACTCCGCAACGCAACCCCATGTCCTGACTTAGTCTAGGGAGTCTTAGCCTACTCACCCCTTAAAGTCTCATTCAGGCAGTCCACCAACTCATTAGTCTGAGGGTGGTAAACGCTGGTCCAAAAGGTTTAATGCCCAGTAGTTCTTCTTGTGTGCAAGACATGAACAAAGTGCCCTGGTCAGTCGGTATCTCTACCCTGGGATCCCGACTCAGGATATGACTTGAAACAGTGCACTCTTTGCTGAAATGCAGCACTGCTTTGGGATATTGTGTTGCATTAACCTGCATCAGAACGAATACAAAGTGATATCCCCATGCACTCCAGTGAAATGCCCCCCCCAAACAACTGGTACCAACAACTGTGTGCATTCTTCCTGCATGGGATTGTCATGACTCACTCTGCATAATCTTTCCATAATCATCACAAAATAATTAAATGCCAACGCTACGTCAGGTCGCACTTTGACCATCAACATTTGTGGTCAAAGTCCAACATTTGTCATCACAAGACTGCTCTGGTGGAGCAAATAACTGGAAGTGCAAAAAACCAAAATTATATATGCATGAAACAGTTTATAAGCACTGTGTTTGCGGAGTTTTATATATGTATTTAAATATGTGTAACAATTTGTCATAATTGATCATACACAGCCATGATGATGCCTCAGGCTCCCATGCCTGCTCCTGCTGCTGACCCCATGCAGATGGCAGCAGCAACGCAACAGGCTCTAATCAACCAGCAAGCCCTTCTCATGGTCAGCACTATGATGATCATTTTGTTCACATCCTTTATCACCCCTTCATCCCTCGTAAGGCCAAAGTTTAAATTTCTCCCCTGTCCTCTCAGGCCCAGCAGATGACCATGCAGGCAATGACTCTGTCCCAGCAGCAGGCACAGGAGCAGCAGAAGAAGGAGCAGGAGAGACTGAAGAGGGAGGAACAAAGGCAGAGGGAACAGGAAAGAAGGCAGGAGGATGAGAGGGAACGGAGGCGTAGATCAGAACGGCGTTCTAAGGACCGTTCAAGTTCACCTCCTCCTCAGTCTCGCTCACCCCCACCTGTCCAGTCCAAAGCATCTGCGCCTAAAATCACCCAAAACTACAGTCAGCCTGAGGCAGAGGTATTTATATTAAAAAAAAAAAATAATAATATATATATATTATATATATAATATATATATATATTTATATATATATATATATATATATATATATATTATTTATATATATATATATATATATATTGTAATGTTTATAGCATATTGTGTGAGCAACTACTTTTCAAAACACTGTCAGTGTGGTACTTGTATTCAGTTGGTTACTTGCTGTGACATTTTTTAAAAAAATCCTTGCCCCCTTGAATTTCTGAGCATTACTGCCCACTCCCACTTTCCCTCTCTGTCACATCCACCCGCTCCCGCAATATTTGTATCCAGTCCTGCCCACACCCACAGACTCATAGTTTTCACATGGCGTCAGAGCTAGGGGGATGCATCCACCTAGAGGGAAAAACAGTACTGCAGTCCTTTGCACTCCTTTGCCATCAATCACAGTTTAACAAACCGCCAGATAGTTGCTGTGCTGTCGAATGCACAAATCTACATTTATTTACAGCTGCCAGAAGAGCGTAAAGTATTGCGCCAACACACCTCTCCTAACCCCACCTTAGGGAATGACCTAATCACACCAATCCCTGCTTCTCCACAGTAACCCCGCCTGCATTTTAAACTGTAGGAATGATTCACTGACATTGTGAAAACTTTACTGTTATGACACAACATTAAAGTGACAAATGAATACTTTTCTGGTCCTACACTGTAAATGTCAAAATGAACAAAACATAATTTTTCCATGTGGTAGTTTATTTGAGCTAGTTATGTACTGCTTTCCTTTGCTTTAACTATGAACTGTTTCTTGTTCTTTACCTCCTACATGGCAGCATTGTTTGCCCGTCCAGACTGAAATTACAGGTAGCTGTCCGTACTTTGAAACTGTTGATCCTGGGAGCAGTGTAATGTGAGGGATTCTCTACAACATACGCATAGATGTGACTGAACTGGAGCTCGCAGATTGTTAATCAAAAATCCCCCCAAAATTTTTAGTGTACAATCTTTTATAAATGACTTGCAAATACATACATATTATTCAATTGAAATGATGACTGACTTGTTTCTGAAAACAGCTGGTCAATACACTTACAACGTAGGATACAGACAGTGTTTGCTTTAGTCTTTCAATTTGGATTTTTTACCTCAAACTCTGTGAATGTGAAACAATAGTGTCATGTCATTATGCACTTCTTTCTCCTTATCATTTAAATGTTACTTTTACAGCCAGAAACAGAAGTAAACTTAGATGCAGATGAGCTATACTCTGTCAAAGATAAGAGGGACTTCTTCCAGAAGATTGGTGAGTTCAACAGCAAAATGTTCTTTCTTGCTCAAATGACTTAATATCATTCACAAGATATATGTTTGACAGATTATTCAAGTCATGTATAACATTTATAAATTTCTGCAATAACCTTTTCCCTTTCACCACGCTTTTATCTCTAATGTATTGGTCAGATTCATGCCCAAGAATTTTTCTTGATTCCATATTTTCTTGAATGCTTGATTCATGACTTTGTAAAGCCAGGGGTTTAGCCTATTGTTTATTTTTGTTAAGAAGGTCCTCAAGTCAAAATATACAAATTAAATGATTTTAGGCTGCAATCTTTATGGAGTTGATTTTGACTAGTCGGTCCATGTTGTGATGTTTTTATGTTTTACAGGAGGTTTAAATATTGTTTTTCTATTTATAGAATTCAATTTGCATCTTCAGTGATTGCTCCTGTAGTGTTTTTTTTTAAGTCATGGTTTTTCTTAATCCCATTTTCTTGTGCTGTCCTACAGCCACTCAGCCCAACCCTAAAGACCCTAAAACCCTAAAGACACGTCAAGCCCCAAGCACAACCAGACAGCAACAGCACTCACCTCCATTAACTTCTCCTTTGCCCCCACCTGTAGCAGCTAAGCCAGAAGGTAAGAGGATTTTACAAGTTCAAGGGTTCTCTGAACTGATCCTTCCTCTAAAAAGCTCATTTTAATTTAGATCATTTAGGGTAATCTCCAAACTAACTACCAAATAAATGGTAAAATGATAGCAAATAATAATATTTTGTACCAAAAACATTATGGATTCAAGTCTTTTTACACGTGAAAGTCTGAGCCAAGGTTTATAGAATAGAATAGAATAGAATAGAATAGCCTTTATTGTCATTGTACAGAGTACAACGAAATTGGAGTGCCACTCCCTTGGTGCAAGATTCAATAATAAATATAAATGTAAAATATAAAAAGTACAAAAAAACAATCGTAAGTACTCAAACAATAGTATGTACAATATATACAGGATAGCAGCATTAATATAATGACAGTGACGGTATGGAATAGGTTCAATTGTTTTTGTGCTTATTTACTACGGTGATAGCTCTGGGAAAGAAGCTATCCCTGAATCTGTTTGTCCTGGTTTTATGTGACCTGTACCGTCGGCCTGACGGTAATAGTTCAAACAGTTGGTTGCTGGGGTGAGAGTGGTCCTTGATGATATTGCCAGCTCTGCTGAGGTACCGAGAGTTTGCAGTGACCTCCAGGCTGGGCAGAGAGCAGCCAGTGATCTTCTGGGCTGTGTTGATGACCCTCTGCAGTACTTTCCTGTCCGCAGCTGAGCACCCTGCATACCATGTTGTTATGCCGTACGTTAGGATGCTCTCTATGGTGGCTCTGTAAAATGTCACCAGCAGCCTCTCCTCCAGGTTGTTCCTCCTGAGCACTCTCAGAAAGTGGAGACGCTGCTGGGCCTTTTTAACCACCGCCGTGGTATTTGCAGTCCAGGAGAGGTCATCAGATATCTGCACGCCCAGAAACCTCATGGAGTGTACCCTCTCCACACAGCTCCCGTGAATGTAAAGTGGGGCCGGGTCTGCTCTGCCCTTCCTGAAGTCCAAGATAAGTTCTTTAGTTTTCGTGGTGTTCAGTTGGAGGTTGTTAACTGAACACCACTCAGTCAGTCTGTTGACCTCATCTCTGTAGTCCGACTCATCCCCCCTTGAGATGAGTCCAACCACTGTGGTGTCATCCGCGAACTTTATGATGGTGTTTGAGAGATGGGTAGGGGAGCAGTCGGATGTGTAGAGCGTAAACAGGAGGGGACTCAAAACACATCCTTGTGGAGACCCGGTGCTGAGTGTGATGGTGCTGGACCGGTGGGGGCCGAGTCTGACAGACTGTGGTCTATTTGTCAGGAAGTCCTTGATCCAGAGGCAGATGGGGGTGGAGAGTCCCAGGTGAGACAGTTTCTGGACCAGGATCTCCGGGATGATATGATTGAATGCTGAGCTGAAGTCCAGAAAGAGCATTCTCACATAGCTTCCTCGGTGCTCCAGGTGACTCAGCGCAGTGTGGAGCGCTATGGTGATAGCGTCCTCGGTGGATCGATTTGTCCTGTAGGCAAATTGGTGGGGGTCCAGAGTGGGAGGCAGACCGGCCCTGATGTGCTGACAGACCAGTCTCTCAAAGCACTTCATCACTACAGGCGTAAGTGCAACAGGCCTGTAGTCATTTGGGCTGACCACAGCTGTCTTCTTGGCGATGGGGATGATGGTGGAGGTTTTGAGGCAGGGCGGGACGGTGTTTGATGACAAGGAAAGGTTGAAGATTTTAGTGAAGACTTATGTTGTTTGCATGTTACATTGTTTGTTTTTAATTTTGCTTAAGCATTTTTATCATGCAGCTAAGAACTTGACATAACATACCATTATTCTTACATTATTTACTATTTGGGCTACCTCTCCTTATATGCAACAGTGTTACAATACTGCTGTTTCTTTTCTAATCAGGATTCTTTGCTCTCCTGTACACTTTCATTTGAACTTTTTACAGTATTGTTGCAGCATATTTTAATTACAAACTCTAACTCCTCCTTCACTGATGTGTTACTGTAATTCATTGTTCCTGTCAATAGCTTCAGTGATGAACTTTCATACTTAATGAAAATTGGCCAAAATACTGAACCATCAAAGAAAGTGGGTTCGGTTCAGATAATAGTCCGAGCCAAAAACTTACATGTGAAAAGATCCGTAATACAATCTGCTGCTAATGACTTGGTAACTGATGGCACAGGGCATCTTTACTGCAGAATTCTGACCTCAGCAGGCTGTTTTGGTGCCACTATGGATCAGCAGCATATTAGGAAGGCTTGCTAGTGTTTATATCTTACATTTCCTGCGTTTTGTCTCCCATAGTGAAACATCCACAAAGCCCACCTGCAAGGGAAGTTGACCCCCCAAAAGAAAAACCAACCCCAACTCCCCTCACTAAGCCTCAACCTGAACCCACTTCCAACATTCGGGAAATCATCAAACAGTTCAACAGCCGACCACAACCAGAACCCGAACCCTTTCAGCCCGTCAGGTCTGAGCACTTCATCCTCTGTGTACACATTTCCATTAAAGCCTGAAATTGAAGTTTCCTTTAATCATCTGGATACTGCTTGAGCATTCTTTATATCTTACATGTGATGAAAAACTACCAAAGATGAATCAGCATAAATGTTGGGGGGAAAATGGAAAGGCATTTTAGATCGTCAGAGGTTTGAGTATCACTTTAAACATAATTGGAGCTTTCACCAAATTTTGGTGAATGTGTCCAGTTTGCAGCCAGTCACATGGCTTTCCTGACCAATTCAGTCTGTTGATGTCGCCAGCTCTGATGTTACTCCTCTAACAGACCATAGGAGGTACATTGCACTCTCTAATAGACTGAGAGAAAATCCCTGACATTTTGCTGTTCACTTGCATCTCTGTGTCCTAAGGACATAGAGCCAGTTTATTCCCTTTTTGTGTACAGACTCAGGTTGTAAAAGGGTCACCATCCCAGGTCCTTAGAACTTTGGGGATGATGTCATCGGGGACTGCAGCCTTGCTCTCGTGTAGTTTCTCCTGCTGTCACTTAACCTAGCCAAAAATTACAATAGGGAAGGGGTTCATTTTATGGCGAAGTTGAGGAAAAGGGAAAAGCACTGAAAGTAGTAGAAGTTTATGGAATCCAGGATGTGTGATGGAGGAAGCACCACAATGGTATAAACTAACCTAACCCTGTTAAAGATATTATTTAGCTCTTTTGTTCTCTGCAGATTGCCCACTGGTTGTCCGTCTCCCACCTTACACACAGTGGTTTTCTTCTTCCCACTCTATAGCATTGGTGGTGATGTTAGGCCTCCTGCTCTCTTTGTTTGTACGCCAGCATTAATTATGAGTCAGAGATTTAGGTATCTTTTCCCTGGAATTTAAAAAAAAAAATGTAAAACTAATGTTTAAATGTTTTTTTTGTTTCCTTTTATCAGATTTTACATCTTAAGCTAGCTCGTTTTACTCATATTCTATCAGTTCATAATAAAACTTGTTGAGAGCGTGCATGTAAATGAAACCTTAATAGAATTGTCTTGTTTTCTACATATCGTTTTTGTCCTCTTTGCAGACATCCTGCAAAATCATTTGTAAAGAAGAGTAACCCCAAAGAGGAAGCTCTGGCTAAGCTTAAAAACAAAGCACCAGTGGCACAACAGAAGGTCAGAATACAAACAAATAACTAGAAATCTTTTTTGTTTGTTTATGCAATTACACTCTTAATTAGGTAATTCTTTAAAACAGTTTGACATCCTTCCTGTATGTAGAAACAGTGGGTGCCTCCTCCACCCCCTTCTCCAAAGACCCGTTCACCACAGAAATCTCCACCATCAACAAGGGGTCGCAGAGTCATCTCCAACAGCATGAGACAGAAACAGCGCTCCCTGGAGGACCTGTTCAGCTCCCAGCAGCCCCAGCACCCTCCTCCTTCTCCCCCTGACTCCCCACCACCTTCCCCAGGCTTTCAGGACATCCCTGAGCCACCATCAATGGCTGCTCCATCAATAAGTGGGTGTCCCCTGACTTCATGTTTCCCCATACATCAGCATTATTCTGTGACATATTTGGCTGATAAATAGCATCGGCCGACAACAGTTCTATATGCCCTCATATAGCTGAGGGTATGTATCTTTGTCAGTAACTTTAGTTTACTGTGTATTAACTATAGATGATGATATGCCAGAGGACGAAGGCATTCAGTCCAAACTCCACCGCTTCTCTGCTGGGGTTTACTTCTCGTACTACAACATGCCAGGAAAACTGTTCCTGCGAAAAGAAGTAAGATTTGCATGCACACAAAAACAATTAGGAGGTTCACTTAAATGGGTACTGTTTTGGGTCCTTCTTACTATTGTGAAGGACCCATCAAATAGGGATGCAGTGGGTTTTGTGGAAACAAGATTGCTATAAGAGGAGAAACTCCTTTCTTGAAAGACCAAGGTCTTTCATAAAATTAAATTTTGTTTCTGCCAAATCACAAGCGCCTTCAGGCAGTTGCCTCAAGGTGTTTAAGGTAAAACGCAGTAATACAGAAAAAAAACAACAACTAAATTGCCCCCTTTAACCAAACACTTCACGACAGTGGAAGGGAAAAACTTCCTTTAAACAGGAAGAAATCTTCAGCTGAACCGAAATTAAGGTGGGGGTGATGAACGGAAGACAGGACAAAATAATCAATGTGCAAGAGAGTCAGACATTTATAATAACTACTGAAAATATAGAGTGGTGTGTAAGCACAAAAAACACTGAGTGCAGTAAGGTAGCCGCCAGCAGACTAGGCCTATTACAGTGTAACTATGGGAGGATTAGGGTCCCCTGATCCAGACCTGCTTTATCAAAAAGGAAAGTTTAAGCCTAATGTTGAAAGCAGAAGAGTCTGTCTGGCTCCTGAATAGTAGCTGGTTCCACAGAAGATGGGCCTAAAAGCTGAAGGCTCTGCCTCCCATTCTACTTACCATTCTTGTTGTTCTTAGGAACCACAAGTAAGCCAGCAGTCTGACAACTGCTGTCATTACGCTCACTGCACAATTCTGGAGCAATTGAACACATTTGCGTTTTTTAAGAAAGCCAGAAAATAATTGTTATAGCAGTCCAGCCTAAAAGTAAAAAATGTGTTAATATTTAAGCGGACAATGTGTTACGGCCGAGAGGGCCAGGCTGTGGGTGTGGACTCAAATGCAGACACAGAGGGAGGCAAAACGGGCGTGAACACAGTGCTTTATTTACAGTGCCTAGTTAACTTACAAAGCAGGAAACTATGAATGCTATGAACTGAGAACCATGAGGTCAAACTATGAACATGAAACTCTGAGTGCTATGACTAGGTGCTAGATTTCATGGATGGATCCGGGGAATGGAAAAAGGGGCAGCGGCTTGGATGGAAGTACACAGTCACTATAATGAGAGGAGACAAGTAGTCAGTGGCAGTCTAGTGAATCACAGCTGAAGGATTAGACTATGGTGGTTAGGGCTTACGTGTTGCAGGTTCAAGTGTCATGCGAGGAGGGGGTGTCCAAGGGGTTCTGGGTGAGGAGTGTCCAGAATATACTTGGAGTGAGGGACTTGGCAGGGAGGCAGGCAGGTGTAGTCCAATGATGGAAAGGAAGCAACCAGATGACAGAACCAGCGTCCAGGCGGAGATGTGAGTAGTTTAGTTTGGGAAGTGCGACTGCCAGGTGGGTCGTGAGTTAGCAGAAGATCTGGTCTGTTGTGAATGCTGGTCTTATATGCTGGTGACTTGATTGGAACCAGGTGTGGAAGCTGATTGGAGTCTCTGCCTGAAGGTGGAGCCTCTTGCCCTATGACAGCTGGGATAGGATCCAGCACCCCCCCCCCGCGACCCTGAAAAGGATAAGCGGAAGCGAATGGATGGATGGATGTTGTTGTAAGTCCATGTTAGTAACTGCAAGTTTTATGTGCAGGTTTTTTACCCCAGAGAGATGTTTAACCAGCCCTATATTCTTAATCTGTTGTGTGAACAGGTCTGTATATTTCTTTTGTTCATCTATATATCTGATAGACATGGTAGACACACAGAGTTTGGAATTCTGTAATACTCTATTTTTACTTTTTTTTTTTTTTAGATAATCAAGGACACTTACTCTGACAGCTGCGAGAAGATCAGCAAAGAGGAGAGAAGGAAGATGAAAGATCTGCTGGGTAAGATTTTGACAGTTTATCATAAACCTTAATGCGACAATGCTGCTTTTCCAATCATTATCCGCCAGTGGCTTGAAAGAATATGACTCAGTTACACCATTTTTGCCACCCACAATAGCAAATTTCAACATAGGAACAACTATAAACACCATCCAGGACAACAACATGAAGAAGAGGATTGTCATTGCAGCTCGAGACAACTGGGAAAACTACTTTACTCGTCTGTTCCCTGTGAAGGTGAGCAGACCAAAAAAAAATCAAAGTAAAAAACATCCAAACTGTACTGTCCGTTCTGTGATCAGTCGAGTTCGGTTGCTGCTTCTCTGAGCTTTACTGCTCTTTGTGTGTTTAGCCAGCTGTATTCTACAATATACACTCTTCCACACCTTTATTTAGTATAACTATTCAAAAACAGGTACAGATTCAGGTTATTCTATCTAAGCAACCAATCAAATATTAGCAACTCATGTAGGGGTCCAAGAGGACCAAGAGGTCCTGCAGATATTTCAACATATATTTATATATGTTTTAATATTTCAGTAGCTGCAAATCTACCAGGATTTTCCCACACAGCCTTTGTCAATCACACACAGTTTTGTATGTGATTAAGATAAGATCTTATTCTAGCAGTCAGCCTCATTGATCATATGAATAGGGCATCTAACTAGCCAGAAATTTAAGGTCATCCAGGTCGTCATGTGTTCAAGAAATTCCTGCAGTTTAACTACTTTGGTGTGTGTTATCTGGCTTCATGGACAGATAAAGCTGGGTATCGTCTGCAAAGCAATGAAAACTTATGCTGTGCCTTCCAATTATACTCCATGTAATTAGCTACATTAAAAACGTAATTAGTCCTAGCACTAAACCCTTGGATTTCCATAATTAACATTTATGTGTGAAGAGGACTTCCCTGTTACATGAACAAATTGGAGTCTGTTTGATAGATATGATTCAAACGGATGCAGCACAGACAGATTATGTGTCAAACTGCACAGAAAAGTTGTCCGTTTGGTGATATTGGTTGTTGTTTTGACACATTATATTTGAAACGATCTCCCTCTTCAAACAGTTTATTTTTGCGCCCCTTCCTTAGTATTTAGTAGATCCTGAAGTACTGCAACCACAACGTTACTGGCATCTGTATGCATAACACATGGATGGGATTGTGTTGGGTGTGCGCTTCCACAGGCCCCGCTGGTTTAGAGACTTATTCCTATTAACGAAGTAAAGAAGCAAGACGAACAGTTTTAACCGGCTTTTCACATGCTAGCACGGGAAGGATCTCAGAGCAGCCCTTCTGCCCTTGGTCTCAGACCACTTTGAAGAAAGAGCTTCCCCTGCAGCCTTTTATTCTGTGACACAGTTTACACAAACACCCATAGTAATTGAACTAAGATTTACAAATTTAAGTAACACAATTACAACATTTAACAATTTCAACCTAACAGATTGGATGGGGAAAAATGTGTGTAGAGTATGCAGGGTTCACCATGAGGTAATATTACTCTGATTGGTTGAGTATCTCCATGGTATCAGCTGGAAGATTGCACCATATGAAAAATAAGATTGTCAATTGATAAATTCAGATTCAACATTACTCTGGATTGTTTCTGCCCATTTTGATGTTTTTATTATAATAACATATACAGTATGTTCAGGGGTATGTGATTGAGATATTGGGTCTTGATTGAGACACTAAAGTCATGAGCTGTGTAGTTTAAAGTGCAATACAGTAGAATCTATTGCACTTTACACTTCTTACAGATATTTATTTGCAAGCATCTCCTGTTTGTACGCAGCCAGACAGTGGGGATGCCCAGGTGTTGGGTGTGTCTCATCGCGGGATTCGTCTCCTTAAGATGGTGAGGGCATTGGGGATAAACCCCAAACATCTCCGGCTACTCAGAGGTTACAGGTAAGCATTTGCATGCACAAATTCACAGAGTAAGGGTATTTATTTCAAATACTTTCTCACTGTGTATGTACATTCTACATACTATCCATTTTTAATATTAAAATAAAAAATCTCATCTGGATCCATAATATACATGCTAAATAAATGATATAAACGTAATTATCTCTACGTAAAGTTCATTATTTATTATCCTAAAACAGTCATTCTCAAACTGCAGGCTCCCTCTAGTGGTACACAGGAAGTCTCTGAAAAATATTTAAGATTAAATAATTATACCATCTTCTGACTGAGGGATTTCTGAAAAATTAAAATGTACAGCTCGGCCACATACGCTTTTTTTTCCACTCGATAAAAGTTAACGTAAGGATTCCCGATGGTTAGGGACAAATGCAATCACATGGCAGGATGCTGTAAACAGACCAAACTTCAGTCAGGAGAACAACTGAGATAATCCATCCACAATATGAGGTTAGTCATTAATATACTGCTGCATGGGCTGGGCTGTAGTTAGATCGTAAGGGTTTAAAAACTGGGCTTTAAAATGAATAGTGGTAATAAAATCTGAGAGAGGCCGACAGTGATCACTGCCTTTTTTTAGGGGCTTGTTCAGATTAAATAGAACAAGATACAAAGCATTAAAACATGTTAAAAACACAACAGCCTTAATAAACACAGTAGTTTGGACCCGGAAGCAGGGTTATACGTCATCACTTAAAGACCAGACATCCCACCTACAGTTGTTATTATTATCATTTGTCACATCCTGTTTATGACAATTAAAATGAATAACATTCATATAAGAAATAAAATTGTCTCATGTAAACTGGATATGGTTTTAAATAGGCCTATACTACTGTACTTTTATGTCGATCATAAGTTCATAAGTTCCATAACTTTAAAAGCGATATATTTTATGAGGTGGTACTTGTTATGAAAAGTTTGAGAATCACTGTCCTAAAATATTATTTATTTATTTATCATCCTCATTAGCAAAATATGCCAGCCTGACCTGGAACTGCCCCCTAAATTGGCCAACACCACCTCTCCCCCTGCAGCTCAGCGAAAAACACACCTCATGGCCATGAAAACAAACATTGTTAACTTTGCCTGTCAGTCGTTTTCATAATGTGGCTTTCAAGTACAGTCCAAAGTTCACGCTCCCAAGATATCAGCAGCTATATTGTTCCACTGTTTTCATCAGCTAGATTAAGTTGCTATGGTAATAACTACAGTGGGGCAAAAAAGTATTTAGTCAGCCACCGATTGTGCAAGTTCCCCCACCTAAAATGATGACAGAGGTCAGTAATTTGCACCAGAGGTACACTTCAACTGTGAGAGACAGAATGTGAAAAAAAAATCCATGAATCCACATGGTAGGATTTGTAAAGAATTTATTCGTAAATCAGGGTGGAAAATAAGTATTTGGTCAATAACAAAAATACAACTCAATACTTTGTAACATAACCTTTGTTGGCAATAACAGAGGTCAAACGTTTACTATAGGTCTTTACCAGGTTTGCACACACAGTAGCTGGTATTTTGGCCCATTCCTCCATGCAGATCTTCTCGAGAGCAGTGATGTTTTGGGGCTGTCGCCGAGCAACACGGACTTTCAACTCCCGCCACAGATTTTCTATGGGGTTGAGGTCTGGAGACTGGCTAGGCCACTCCAGGACTTTCAAATGCTTCTTACGGAGCCACTCCTTTGTTGCCCGGGCGGTGTGTTTTGGATCATTGTCATGTTGGAAGACCCAGCCTCGTTTCATCTTCAAAGTTCTCACTGATGGAAGGAGGTTTTGGCTCAAAATCTCACGATACATGGCCCCATTCATTCTGTCCTTAACACGGATCAGTCGTCCTGTCCCCTTGGCAGAAAAACAGCCCCATAGCATGATGTTTCCACCCCCATGCTTCACAGTAGGTATGGTGTTCTTGGGATGCAACTCAGTATTCTTCTTCCTCCAAACACGACGAGTTGAGTTTATACCAAAAAGTTCTACTTTGGTTTCATCTGACCACATGACATTCTCCCAATCCTCTGCTGTATCATCCATGTGCTCTCTGGCAAACTTCAGACGGGCCTGGACATGCACTGGCTTCAGCAGCGGAACACGTCTGGCACTGCGGGATTTGATTCCCTGCCGTTGTAGTGTGTTACTGATGGTGACCTTTGTTACTTTGGTCCCAGCTCTCTGCAGGTCATTCACCAGGTCCCCCCGTGTGGTTCTGGGATCTTTGCTCACCGTTCTCATGATCATTTTGACCCCACGGGATGAGATCTTGCGTGGAGCCCCAGATCGAGGGAGATTATCAGTGGTCTTGTATGTCTTCCATTTTCTGATGATTGCTCCCACAGTTGATTTTTTCACACCAAGCTGCTTGCCTATTGTAGATTCACTCTTCCCAGTCTGGTGCAGGTCTACAATACTTTTCCTGGTGTCCTTCGAAAGCTCTTTGGTCTTGGCCATGGCGGAGTTTGGAGTCTGACTGTTTGAGGCTGTGGACAGGTGTCTTTTATACAGATGATGAGTTCAAACAGGTGCCATTCATACAGGTAACGAGTGGGGGACAGAAAAGCTTCTTACAGAAGACGTTACAGGTCTGTGAGAGCCAGAGATTTTCCTTGTTTGAGGTGACCAAATACTTATTTTCCACCCTAATTTACGAATAAATTCTTTACAAATCCTACCATGTGAATTCATGGATTTTTTTTCACATTCTGTCTCTCACAGTTGAAGTGTACCTCTGGTGCAAATTACTGACCTCTGTCATCATTTTAAGTGGGGGAACTTGCACAATCGGTGGCTGACTAAATACTTTTTTGCCCCACTGTATCACAGGTCTGGTGTGCTATTCCTTATGGACGTTTTTGATACATCTTTGATATTTTAATTCATTGTTGCTGTTGGTTATTGCATTAAATGTTAACGTGGGTCTTCATGAATAAAGTTTTGCAGAGGTGCTGTCAGCTGAACTTCAGGGTGAAGACACAGTGGCACTGAAGCTGAAGAGTGAAAAACTGGTGTTGCAGTCACGCAGGGCTCCTCAGATCATTGCTATGATTCAGTCATTCATCCAGGAACTCATCAAGGTACTCTTTTTATAATCATAGTTCATTCCATGGTCTATAATTTTAAAGGTTTTCAGCTTATATTCACAGTCTCCTTGTCTTTAGAGCCTCTTTAATTTTAGTTCATCTCTCACTCCTCCCTTTAGGACTCAAACCATGTAGTTGCCCTGAAGAGTTTTGTAACAGATGACAAGAGTCTACTCAGCTTCAATAAGGGTGATATAATCAAACTGCTGCCAATGGAAGGGCTAGAGCCAGGTAAAGTCATGACTTGAATTGTAGTCATATGTTTATGTTAGTTACTAAGACGAATATTATTTTCATTGTTTCCAGTCTAATTAGATTTGTCTGTTTCACCAGGCTGGCGTTTTGGCAACAAGGGAGGACGTTCTGGTCTTTTTCCAGAAGACCTCACCAAGCCATCTGCAGCCCCAGACTACCACTGTCTCAATCTAAACCACAGAGATGAGAAGAGGAAAAGCATGAGGAAGACTCTCATCAACAAACACATGGGCAGCAGTAATTCAAAGCAGCCTGGAAGAGAGGCTTCACCCCACGGTTTGGTGCATGGATCTCTCCAGAGATCACAACAGAGCTCAATGCAGGGCTCAGTCCTCAACTTAGAGGTGAACTCACCGATGGCTGACTTTGCCATGAAGTACTTCAGGTAGGATAAAAGTATGCTAAGTATTATTGTGAACTATGCTGAAGTGGTTTGGGGTCATATAACATGGAAAGTATAACTTTGTTCCACCCTTCTTTGTTTATCGAAGACTGGGGACAACAGGTCTGCCAGCCAACGGAAGGAATTTTTCACAAGTGATTGAATACACAGAGGTAAGTGTTGCAGTCCCTCTGATGTCATATGACCACATGTTTTAGTGCGAAATTAGTTAGATCTAATGCTATAACCAATAGTTAATGCACATCTATAATAGATGCCTTCCTGCAGTAAAATATGCCTTGTAATCTCTGAAAATAGAATAGAATAGCTTTATTATCTACATCAATGGAAAATTGTCTTTCATTCACCAAGCCATGAACAAATTAGTCAAATCACTTTATATCATCGCACATTCATACATACACATACAAATACAACAGAACAAACACACATCACAGCATGCCATTGTTCAGTATACTGATTGGTCTTGGGACAAGGGCTGGACTGGGACAAAAAATCGGCCCGGGCATTTTGACTAGAAACCGGCCCACCAGGTATTACAGGAAAAACCATAAAGCCTTTGAATGAAAACAAACGCTGTTGTCACAGTGATGTACACTGTCTTGTTGGTATATATGTATCAATCTAATAAACCTAAACCTACACCATCCTTCCTATTCTGGTATTCAAAACAGTACCTGAAAGTAGACTGCTTGGTCGAGTTAACCTCCTGAACTATCTACAACACATGGTGAAAACCTGAAATTAAGACAGAGAAGACTAGAGGTGAGACATGATCATTACTGATTACTGATGACAGATTTAGATATATTTTCATAAACCATTCATTTGCCACATCAATAAACAGCATGGCAGGGCAAAATATTTTTTCTAACATGGCAACCTTTAAAAAGTGAAAGGAGACAGAAAGACAGGTGAGAAAGAATAAAACTTAATTGACTTTTTGATGGCATTTTACACACAGTACTGGTACAGAATCTAGAAAATGTGGGAAAATACTGGCATCATATACAGTACTTAGCTACTTCTGAAGAAATTATGATGGGACCCTAAAAAAAATTACTATGTACAATAATGGATTTCTATACATTTTACATCAGATGAAAACGTTTGTTGTAAGATTCAGATAATTATTTTTAAAAGCAGACATTTTAAATGAGAATAAGAAAGAAAAGTATTTCTTTGTGCCCCCCTTTCCCTGTTAATGCCCTACCTGCCCCTGGCAAAACTTTGCTAGACCCGCCCCTGCACAGTTACCAGCTGTCAGCTACTTAGAAAAAGGATCCTGGTGTTATTTGTCTCTCAGAAACAGTTCATAACTTCCCTTCAACTCATTCATGTCACCTAAAAGGTAAACCTGTTTCTCCATCACCTGTTCAGCTCTGATGATCCAGTAAGGACATCTCCTGGTTTCATCTTCATGTTTCCCTCTCACCAGATAACCAAACCATATCATGACCAGCAGCTTTACAGCTGTGGCTCCAGCAAACATCAGCTGATACTAGAAATTAATATTAAATAAATTCTAACAACAGCTGATCAAGCTTAAACGTGCTGCTGTTGTTTAGCGCGACATCCGCTGGTTTCCTCTTTCTGGCGCAAAGTGAGCGATAAACAACACGAGAGAAAAGCCGATCAGCTGATCACCAGTGTTGGTCAAGTTACTTGAAAAAAGTAATCAGTAACTAATTACTGATTACTTCCCCCAAAAAGTAATCCCGTTACTTTACTGATTACTTATTTTCAAAAGTAATTAATTACTTAGTTACTTAGTTACTTTTTAAAAACACGATTTACAACCTGAAGAGGTGATAAAGCGATAGATCTTTCAGCCCAATTCTACTTTTTCTACATAATCCATCATACAAAATGTAATCAAATGGAAAAGTCTTTTTTTTAACTTGTTTTATCAGTTTTAATCTTTTAACTTTATGCATCAAGCAAAAATTTAATTATATGCAACATTCTCTGACTTGAATAAATTAGTTTAACATTTAAACCTATTTTCTGCACATTCCAGCACATAAAATAAAATATTTTTTGTGTTTACACTCAGTCTTTCAAATAGATGCAAGTAAAACACAGCAGAAAATAAATAAAGTCAAAGACTCAGCGGTCCTGTTGCTCTATTTTCACCTGTAAAGCAGGAGTGGGTAGGCGGAGGTTTACCCTGGTGCAGGTGTGCCGCGGTTTCCGTGAGTTTCCCATTACGTCGTAGCTACTCGGTGCTTGTTGGAAGTTTAGGGGTTTTTTTCGCTGTAAAAAGAAGTTTTCTTCCCACGCACAGCGGACACTAATGTTTTTGTCACTTTTTATGGAATCAAACTCAAAGTAAGGTCAGTACTTCCACGCTTTAAACGCTGCACGCTCATACTCTCTCCCACATCGATATATGATCCATTGTTGATCTGCACACAGCTGTTGTCACTAACGGCGCACTCGCTTACGTCACTGTCATGAGACATTCTCGCAAAAAAATCACGGTTTTAGTAACGCAGTAACGCAGCGTTCCTACGGGAAAGTAACGGTAATCTAATTACCGTTTTTGCAATAGTAATCCCTTACTTTACTCGTTACTTGAAAAAAGTAATCAGTTAAAT